TATTATCTTCAGTTATATCACTAAAAATAAAAAATAAAGGAAAATGAAAAGACAAGGCAAAAGATTTAAAATAGTACATATAATAATTTTTTTACAATGTAATACCTCAAATCAAAAGCTTGTTTTTCCAACTTCCTTCTTTTTTGAGGCTTTGGAACATCACTTTTAACTTTTTTAATAGGAGATTCTTTTGCTGGATTTCTGAAAAAGAAAACAAAGTGTAAAATAAAATAATAAATAATATCATGAGAACAATATAGAGCATCATACATACAATACAAGATATCATTGAAACATAAAAGAAAACATAGTTTAATGTCCTTTATCATTAATATAATAAAGGACCAATATAAGATATAATTAAAACAAAGGAGGAAACCATTTATTAAACAAAGGACATAATCAAGAGAATAGAGGACAGTATACAAATTAAAGCATTAGATACATGACATCATCAAGAGAATAAAGGACATCATACATTAAATAGAGGACAATATACAAAGAATTAGATACAGGACATTATCAAGAGAATAGAGGACATCATAAAGAGAATAAAGGACATCATCAAGAGAATAGAGGAATCATTTATTACATAGAGGACATCAGTCAAAGCATTAGAGGATATAATGTACAGTAGCAGAGGATATCATATTCAGCAATAGAGGACATCATCAAAGCAATATAAGATATCATCAAAACAATATAAAATAAAATCATAACAAAGTGAGACATCAGTAAAACAACAAAGGATATTATATACATAATATAGGATATAATGAAATGAATACACATATCTACAAAAACAAAAATAAGGTACTGTAGCACAATGATAATCAGGAAACAAAATATGATATCAAAGAATACAAATCAGCAAACAAAGCTTTTATATCCTCAATAATAAAATACGAATCATCTATTCTGGCAGAGACAAAATAAACCTAGTTTTGGTGTTTAACTTTCTCTTTGACGTTTTCTTTGGAGATCTTCTGCCAATCAACAATCAAATTTTCAACACAAATTTTGAAACACAAGTTGTAATTGAACTAGAAAATGAAAAATTAACCAAAATAACGTAAAATAAACACAGAAATGAAATTCAATGACAATAATCAACAATCGAAGAAGAAGATTGGAATAAAACATAAAATAACTTCATCAACAATCATCATCAATAATAACTTCATCAACAGTAAAATCAAAGAGCATTTTAGCAAATTAAACAAAAACTGGAAAAACCTAAATGAAAACAGAAAATTCAAAAACAAAAACGTTCAAATGTATACCTAGATGTAGAATTGGACTTAGGAGAAGCATTATCATCGGAAGATAACAGAGGTTGAGTCGCATTCTTCGACCTCATCGTTGTTGCTTTGCGACGATAATAAGTACGACTAAAATCTTTCATAAAACAACAAGAGTCAAGAAATAGAAAAGGAAACAAAGATGACGAAGAGTAAGTAAGACTGCAGAGAAGCGAAATCGAAGTACAAGTGAAGAGAAGAAGAAGAAATATGGAGGAAACTTCAAATTGATGAAGAAGATGAACAAATGACGGTTTATTTTGGAAAAAGAAAAAAAAACGGAAGAATAAACATTGAGAGAATAAATTGGGCTGGAGTAATAGTTTACGCATTATTGGGCAGGACAAATATGTTTAAAAACAGGTTGGGCCAACAAAATTGCCTAAAAAGAAAAGCCGGGCCAACAAACCCGCTGGATTGAGAAACTATTGGTCAGGCTTGACTGACCCAATAGTTTGTGATTTTTTTTATACCACGTTGTTCCTCTATTCTTATAAGAAATATTGGCTTTTATAGTTTAAAAGTATGATGTATAATGATTTGATATCTTGTTAAATTTCTTTTAATGTATATATTCACTTTTGTTTTTATATAATGATATTTAGAAATATACATCTCCATTTTGGAAATTTGTTAATTACTACCCCTAAAAAACGCCATTTATGAATTACTACCCCTAAAATTAATTGATTCTAGCAACTACTATTTATTTCCCTAATAAGCCTACTTAAGCTCTTAATGACATCGTTATTTAGGCCCTGTTTAGTATTAGCGTTTGAGGTAGCGATTAGCGTTTTGACCAGTCAAAACACTACTAGAAAAAAAATAACAGTGTTTGACAAGGTAGCGGTGTGAGTAGCGATTAACGGTAGAGGTAGCGTTTAGGTAGCTTTTCCCAAACGTTAAAAATAGTAGCGTTTAAGAGTAGCAGGTAGCGTTTGTTAATTTTTGCTTACTTTTTTCAAACAATTTATATGATTATTAATATATTTTAGTATTGCAACCGCTACTTTTTCCAAACACTCATACTATCAACCGCTACTTCGATAGCTAACCTCTACCCACTACTAATTGATAGCTACTCGCTACCCTAACAGCTACCCGCTACTTGACCGCTAAAAGCTACCCGCTACCGCTAGTTTTTAACAGGGCTTAGTCAAATTGTATTTTGTACTTGTTATTATTATACATTAAAAAGAGTTCCTAAAAACATTTATGTGCCACGTGGCACCCTCACCATGTCATCTTTCAAATATGAGCATATTCTAATGAAAAGTGTCTATCATGAGATTCGAACTCACAACCACAAAAATATGCATTAGATGTCTTACCATCTCATCCATATAGATTATTCATGCTTTTATACTCAACTCATGAATACATATATGAATTGGATGGAGATCTGAACATTTAATAACTGCAATTCTTAAAAAAAAATCAATCCCATAATTTGCTAATTATGTTCATCGAGGTAATACATACAAGCAAGAATAATTAACTATTGTTATAAATTAACTTTAGTTATTTAATGATTTTGATAATAATTATGTCTTTATTTTCATTATATTGTAAATTATATACAAAGCACATGTTTATATAATTTTTTGACAGGAACATGTTTATATAATTAGTCAATAGTTGTTCCATAAATAATTTATTCAAAGGTTTAATGAAAAACTATTAAAAATCATAAACAAATAATGAATGAATTAATAAACAAATAAACCTATCTATTCAATTACAAGTGTTCAAAGAAACAACCCGAAGCATCACCCGAGCCACACGCTAGTTAGTAGCTTTAAATCCTTAATTAATTAGAATAACTCTTGTACCACTTCTACACCACCTCCGTCAGCCCCCCACTAGGAAATCCATCCCCTCTTGCTTATCCACCACAAAACCGACCCCTCTCGTTTCCCCACCGCGAAACCGACCTCTCTCTTGTTCCCCCACCGAGAAACCCATCTCTCTCGTTTCCCACCACGAAATCCGACCCCCCTCCCATTTTCCCACCACGAAATCCACTCTCATCTTATTCCCCCACCGCAATTACCGCCCCTTCCCTTGCCCTAAATCTCAAAACCCATTTCCTCCGCTTTCCCTAACCCCGTTACCACCCTTCCCCTTCCCCCAACCCTCAGAAACAGCCCAGCCACGTGATGGTGTGAGTTTCGATGTAAGGGAATGGAAGGGGGATGGTTTCGTGGTTGGGGAAGGGGAAAGGGAAAGGGGTGGGATCGTGGTGGGGGAACGAGAGGGGGTGGGAATCATGGTAGGGAGAACAGGAGGGGTAGTTTTTGTGGTGGGAGCCGTACGGAGGTAGTGCAATGGTGGTCCAAGGGTTTAGTTAATTAATCAAGGTTTGAAAGCCACTAATTACAATTAGTCAAACAATGATATCATTAAGTGGTTAAGTAGGCTGATTACGGGAAAAGGTAGTAGTTACTAGAATTAATCAATTTTTAGGGTAGTAATTAACAACTTTATTTTTTAAGGGTAGTAATTCACAAATGACATTATTTAGGGGTAGTAATTGACAAATTATCCCTCCATTTTAAAATATATGCAACACAAACCAAATTTGGGGTTTATTTTATTTATGTATGCATTTATTTTTATTATTTGCATTATTCACTTCCACTATTAGAACTTAATTTATTTATTATTTTATATTTTCTAATTTTGTATTTGTATCACTTCATCTTCTTTACCTCCCCTTCCTTTTCTTCTTTCTTTAATATCCTAACTAATAGAAATGTTTGTATCGCACATAAAAGGCGCGAGGAATTGACTGTTAGCCTGGTGTATAGCACAAAAAGGGCGTAGGGTATTGACTGGAAATCTTTAGATACTGATGTTAAGATTGCTTCTTTTGGTCTTCAAACTCGACTTGATAGATGTTTCTTTACCACTGTACGTGAGAGAGAGGAGAAAGTGGCTATGGCCGAGGCTGCATTTCTTTATTCGCGCCAGCGGGCTAAGACTAAATGGGATGCTTTTGGTGATCTCATTCCCATTTATTATTTTCTTTGGTCTAGGCTCGATGTCGTTGTAGTTCTATCCTCGGGTTAAAAAATAGTTAGTTCTGGTTCCTAGATTTTGACCCCTCCGCGGTTAGCTTCATGATTTTGATATTCTATTCTTCCTTGTACTGTCCCCAAACTCTTGCTTCCCCTCTCTCTCAAATAACGTGGGATTAGTTGCATCTTCCTTCCCCCTCTCTCCAGGGCAATGGATCAAGGGTTTGATGAGATCTTTTTGTCTTCTGAAAATTAAGGAGGCCATGTTCAACATAGATGATGGTAAATCTCCTGGTCCTGATGGTCTCTCTTCTGCGTTCTTTAAGACCTTCTAGCTAATTGTTAGGGAGCACGTGATTTATGCAGTTGAATATTTCTTTGCTTATCATCCAACCCATTTATACAATCGTGTTATGCGTGTCGATTTCAGGTTGAAAATTTCAACCTAAATCTAACCCGTTAAATTTCGTGTCGGGAACGTGTCGACCCAATTATGTAAACGGGTCGAAATTTTTTTACCCAAACCCGCTCATTTCATATAAAATTCATGTCGGATTATCAAGTCGCTTTTGACACCCCTACTTTTGATAATAAAAGCATACTAACCTTTATAATTTTCGCTAACTTGTTGTTTAAAGGTTTATTAAGTAAATTAAGTGAACAAAATGAGAATTAGGGAAAAGGACATTGATTTGAAATTCAGAGAACCGCAAAGAAGATATTAGCTGCAAGAAAACAGAACGTGTGGCAACGGCTTCTTCCGTGAAGAACTTCACCCAATTTTCTCTCTCCTCTTCCCCCGCTTAAAATTCAACTCTTTCTTCAACTTTTTAATCTAATTTGAGCTTTAATCAATGGCACAGTTCATTCTACAAGGGCGATTGAAGCTGCTATTGAACAGTGAAAACTCAGCTCAATGTAAGCTTATTGGGGTAAATAGAAGTTGTGGGGTGTTTGGTTTTGGTGATTTTTGCTCGATTTTTCCACTTAATTTCAACGAAAACAATGTTAGAAGAAATGGGTTGTCGAAAAAAGTGACAATAATTGCTTCTGCTACAAAGGGTAGTTCAAAAAATTCTGTAAATGGGAATGTTAATGGAGTTTTTAATGGTGATAGCAGTGATGATTTTGATGATTATGAAGATGAAGATGGTGATGATGATCTTTCTTGTTTCAGGGGTTTAGTTCTTGACATTTCTTATAGGTCAGTTTAAATTCCTCTTTTTTTTTTTTTTTTTTTTTAATGAATCTATTAATAATTGTTTCAAAAGCATTTGGTTAATGTTGCTTGGGATTGCATTAGAATGAAATAATGTTCTTATAAATATGTAACTGTGTTTTTAATTCAGGTATTATAATGCTTGTTTATTGAACTGTATGGTATCTTGGTAGTTGGTATGTATGTTTTGAAAATTTGTGTGTAGTTATGTAGGGTATGTGCAAGTCATTTTCTTTGTGAAGAAAAATGTCTATATTGATTATGTAATGTTATGCCAAAAGATTTAAGATTGAGATGAGCATAATATGAAAAATTACAAGGGACAATCATGGAGGACCTACCCCTAGGTGCGTGCTCATAGGTCTAGTGTACGGCATTAAATGCAAGAAGTATGAACATTTTTGCATGAGAATTGGCAACCTTAAAAATCAACCAAACATTTTTTAAAAACGGATAGCTGTTAGATTTGATTGAATGCTACACCTTGTCCCTAAAGAAATAATGAAATGAGAAGGAACTACCAATAAGCTGTTAGATTAGTAGCCGAGGCCAAGTTGTTGGAAGTATTTTAAGTTTCAAGTCTGGAATTCACTCTGTCATGATATTTGGAAAGCTTTCGTGTTGCCATATTTGCCTCCCTTAGACAAAGCTGAAATAGAAAACATTGAGAGGTTAGCCTATTTTTTAGAAGTTAAACTCTGTCTCACAACTTGGAGGTCATCAGCATAGAATTTTGCACTTGGATGGGTTTGGTAAATTTCGTTGTTGGCATAATAATTTATAGATTTACATACTATCTAAACCACTGAACTTTCCGGCAAAACTAAATCTTGCTATAGAAGTTAGTGGTGTAACTTGGTGACTTAGATGACAATCCCTCAATTTGCAATGTCGAGGTGGTTTGCATTGTTGGAGAGCTGCACTTTGTGGCTTGTCCGTAAAATCTCACTGCCCTCTCAATGAAAAAAAGGATTATCCAATGAGAATTAACAAATTGGGGCGTGAACAAATTACGACGGTTCCCTTAGGGTGAATGAATGATTAGGGTCCGAGAATCTAATTGCCACCATTTTATTTATTTTTGGGGATATGAAAAAGTTAAACAACTCAACGAAGTACAAATACCTTGCATTTGTCTTGATGCAGTTAATGTATGATGTATCAACTAAATCTGGGCCAAATCCCTTTTTTGCAGTGAAAAAAAGAGTTTTTATTTTTTTTTATTTTCCACCATAAATATAGGGAGTAATTTAAGCTGTTCAAACTTCTGAGGACCCTTCAGTAATCACCAATTGATTTCTCTGAACATTAGTCTCGACATTGTCCAGGAACAAGCTTATTATTTTCCTATCGAACTTGTTGTGTTTATGTCTGTCTATACTGGTTGTAAGCCATTATTGAATACTGGATTTCAGTAAGTTGATGGAACACAAAAATAAGGCCTGACTTGATCATACTTGTTAGTATTTTATTATTTCTATGAAAGCACGTTAAGGTTGCAGACTTGCTGCACATTCAGTTTCTTGTCTTCATTGGCCATACCTTAATCTTATATTTGATTGGCAAGAATCACTCAGTTACTTTTGAGCTATGAATTAGTTTTCAACATAACATTGTTAAACAAGGCTTATTTAAAGAAGCTCTGCTTGTCCTTGCCAGACCGGTCAATGTTGTCTGCTGGAAGCGTGCTATTTGTCTGGAGTTCACAGAGAAGGTTAGACTAATGTGGGCTGCTTCTTCTACTGTTGCACTCTTTTTTGGGCTACAACATCTTTTTCCAATATAAAGCTGGCAATAGATATAGAAACTTTAAATTTGCATATAAAACATTAAAAATAAAAATGGACTTTGACCCTCTGTCTGATATAAACAGCTTCACATTTTTATTATTTGATGCCCCATATTAATATTTCTATATCCTTGTAAGGTAATAGTTTTTTTTTCCTCTCAAAAAACAAATTTACCTTTCTATTTACTTTCAATTGTTTATTTAATAATAAACTTCAATTAATCTTGATGCCAAAATCTGATGAAAAGTTAATATTGGAATTTGGTATAGTAGTATTATGTTGTTATCTTTACTCGACTCACATCTCAAGTGGAAGTTGAATATGTGCTGAATGCCTGAAACTTAATACAGAAGGTTTGTTTATGAGACTGAAACACAAAAAAAAAAAAAAAAAAAAAAAAAAAAAAAAAAAAAAAAAATTGATTGTAGTGTATGGAATTTACTTTGATTGGGGAATTTGGCTTCAAGCTTAGCTACGGTTTCATAATTTTTGTGGGTTAGGGTGCGTTTGGGGGGGGGGGGGAGCATGGAGGTGCAAGGAGGGTTCATGAAGAAGGATGTTATGTTCAGGAAATCACTTTGTGTACTCAGTACTAGGAGAGCAATTTTTTTTTTTTGCTATTTCTTATGTCGAGGATTTGTCATTTTATCATGGGATGTTTATAGGGCAGGTAAAGCAGGTTAGGGAAAGTTTAATACTTTAATTGATAGGAATTTTCCATTTCCGCCATGATTAAGATTCTTTTGGGGCTATTACTGATGATACACTGATCTCCATTTGATGGAAGAACTCTAGCCGTATAGAGTGGCAGTGTGCTAGAGTTTCTTATCCTCTTTACATGATTAATTGAGAATGAACAAAGTAACTAAGATACCTGTTATCCTCCAAGATCAGTTTGGGCATAAAATACATAATGTTGATTTTTTTGCACAAGAATTAATGCAAGAGACTCCATACTACAACAAAATATCTAACCCTTGCTGTAACTAAGATGCCCCTGCAAACATAGGCAGTTTCTTCCATGGACATACTCCATCACACCATGGACCTAGCCACAGCTGCAGCAAAAACACGCTCATCACCATCACTCTTGTGTCTAAGATTACAGTTTTAGTATTTCCTTTAATTGCTTCCACCAGGGGTAGCCATCCAGTGTCAGAATATACTTTGATGCATACTCGCAGTAGTCATTTTACCAGCTTCAACAAAATTCCCTTGCTGAATGTGTTATAATTTCTTCCAAACCAAACATCCCAGGTCCATATAATAAAAGCACTAAACTTCTCTGTATCACATCTTTGCCTTGGACATTTTAATTCTATACTTAATACAAACTGCATCGTAATGCCATTTTTCTGTAAAAGCTCTCTGATTCCAGAAAACTGACCCAATTACAACACTCAAAGTATGAGAAGCGGTCTCCTCCTCTCTGTTCCCTATTACATATAGCACTTAATCTATCGGGAATTAAGGATTTATATGACTGTTAATGATGGGATTTTATGTTCACATATTGGATCTTTTGTTGTAGCTTATTTTCGTCTTTTCTTAAAATACTTTTCCTAATTGGTCTGATCTTTAAAGAAGAGTTGGGAAAAGTTCTCCATACAAATATTGTTTTCTGCTAAAGGCATCTTTTTCTCTTTTGGCAATTTATGTTACTCTACTTTATCATTGATTCTTCACTTTCCTATTTCTGATATTCAAAGAATGAACATTCTTTCAATTCTCATATTAATGAACTAAGTATTATTTGAAGTGTATCTATTTATACAAGAGCCACTTACTATGTTCATGCTCATAACTTTCTATTGATTTCCCTGACTCATCTATTGAAAATTTTAACTTCTTCTGCAGGCTGATGTTCTGGAATATTACGATCAGACAGTAAACTCACCTAATGGTTCTTTTAACATACCAGCTGTATTAAGGGTATATATTGAAGGTCTACATTTTCTGCTTGCTTTACATTCCAATTTGTCAAATTATCTAAGCAGAAGTGTTTTCTGCCAGGTTCCACATCTGCTTCAGGTAATGAAGAGAAAAAAAGTCAGAAACATCCTAAGCCGCAAAAACATCTTCTATCGAGATGATTACATGTGTCAGTAAGTTGTGTATTAAGTAAAGCTACTTTCTTGCTGCACTTGTATGCTTTCCATTTCTCCAAAATTCTACTCCAACATAACTATTTAAAGTGCACAATAGATCGGCTTTCCTACTTAATGTAAATGAAATATCTTGCTTTTTGAGCTTGTACTTTTATTTTTGGACTATGCTAGTGAAATTCTTATCTTTGTAAGCTCCCCCATATATCGCAGAACAATAGGATTATACATATATTGCAATGTTTTTGACATTTTGCACTGCACTGCTTTTGAAAAATGTTATCCTGTTTAATCGCTTATGAGCTTTTCTTATTTATGTACTATTGTGCTACAAACGACTTACCAATGGCCTTTTATTCTCTCTAGGTACTGTAAAGTGACAAATAATTTGACTATAGATCACGTGGTTCCGATTGCACGAGGTGGAAAATGGGAATGGGAAAACCTGGTAAGTGCACCTCCTGGACAGTGGTACTTCATTGATGAGTTTACTCATCTGTGCTGTGTTTTCAATGAGTTAAAACTAACCTAGAAGTACAAAGCCTTGTATTTTTATCAATTTTACTGGGTAGCAAGAAGGAAATTGGAATTTATGGGCTTGTACTTGGCTTTTGTGTATCTAGCTTTTTTAAGGCATAACTTTATAACTGTAAGAGTAAATGAAGATAGTAAAGCTGAATTTGATTGTTAAACTTGTCTTTATTGCTATGAATGTTGGATCATGCTGCCACCTCTACTGGCTTGTAAAGTTGATTCTAGAGTACAAGAAACTTTTCTTATTTACATTAATATCAAATTAAAAATACCCCTAGTTTCATTCAATGTGCATCCTTTTCCTTTCTTTGTCTTGCCTCTACTTGCATCTTAGTCTTTTATATTTTACCAAAAAATCCTCCATGATAATTCTTAATTAGATAGTTGTTTCTTGTACTGTCCTGCCCGTAATTGTCACTTTCATGGTTATCAATCGATTAAGTTCTGAAGATTGCAACTAAAATCTATAGATTTAAACCATAGGGTAGTAATTATCATTAGAAAATCTTGTATTTTGACAGTATACCAATATTTTATACCGGTGTAATCAAAATTTGAAGTCATACAGGAGTATGGATAAGAAAACTATTACTGTGCTTTCTGCTGTTCTGGTGGTGCTGTAGTGATTTCCTCTGAAGCCTGATAATTACTATGCTGACTACAGGTTCTTGCTGTTGAAATTTAATTGATGATTCTTTTTCCGGTAACCTATATATTTGAAACAGGTGACAGCTTGTATTAGATGTAACTCGAAGAAGGGCCACAAAACTTTAGAAGAAGCAAACATGAATCTTGTTAAAGCCCCAAAGGTATTATAAATTCTCACTAATCAAACTTTAATCTTTTTATTTTTTAATTCTATAATATTATTTTTATATTTTTAGTTTAGAGAGAGTCACAAAGGGTTGTCCATTGTCATTTAAGGCTATGCACTCAAAGTATTGAATTGTTCTTATTGCATATATATTCAATACTCAGTAGAGTGATTTGTAACATCATTAAGTGTATGCTAATATGGCATATATTGGAATATATGCTTTGAAAAAAGGCTTAATATGCTTATACATGTTATCAAGCAGACTTGAGGTGTATGAATGAAAGTATATTACAAGTGTTATATTTTCTTTCACAGAAAATCTGACCAGCTAATCTGTTCAAGACTATATTGTTTTGCAGGCACCAAAAGATTACGACATACTTGCTATACCGCTGACCAGTGCAACTGTAAGGATGCTGAAAATTAAAAAGGGAACACCTCAGGAGTGGCGTCAATACCTCCCAAAATGACGGCTTCAAATGATTAGTGGCACTGCCTGAACATGTAAGGTGGTTGTATATAATTATCGGTCCTTCATGTACACTTATGCCTTATGGTATTCTAGTTACGCATCAAGTGTGTCTAATGTTACAGGGCATCTGATGTATCCATGGCCATGAGAAGAGATTGGTAGCTCTGTAAATTGTGAATTTAGGAAACGATCTCTTCGGGTTTTCATGGCTGACACAACTAATCAATTAATTCTCTCTAGTATAAGCAAGGAACTGCCCTTTTCTTAACCTTATTTTTTATTATATAGGAATATGCTTCTATGAATGATAATTCTGTTATTAACTTCTCTTATATTTGTGTTTTGCATGAATATCCTTGTTCTGGAATTTGTTACTTAATTCAGTTGGATTTCTATCGGAAATCTAAGTAATGCAATTGCACATTTCTCTATCCGCCCAACAGACGAAGCCGATTTGTGTGGAAGTATATAAGTACTGTACTTTTATACCTTCGCACACGGCTCACCTAATAGGGAGGAAGTAGTAATGGAGTGTTGTTATGTATGTGAAAATGCATAACAATACAACGGGGCCAGTTTGGAGGGAAAAAAACGGGATGGAGCCCATTGCACAGTAAAAAAGCAAAACAAAGCAAAACATGGGTCAGAAATACAAGGGAAAAAAAAAGGAGAATGCATGTATATAAAGTGAAAATGTACGATACATGATTATATAACTATAATACTTAAAATAGAGAAAACTGACCCTCTTCATTTAGACTTTCATCTATAAATGTCGTTTCTAATTTGACTACTTTTGTAAGATGATTACCTTTAAGAACAATATTTAGTGAAGGAAGGAGTACTATACTTTATACGAAGTATTATTAGTTTTTATTTATTTATTTTGAAGATTTTTAGTAGTTACTTTGACAATAAAGAAATAAAAACAAAAGTGAAAATAGGGGAAAACAGTCTAACAGAAACACGTCAAATGCTAAAAATTACTACTACTACTACTAATGTAATATTTTACACAAAAAGAGACATTAAAAAAAAGACCAATTAATTTCACTTATAACATATTTAGTTGAAAACTAGTGCGTGACCCCGAGTTTTGCCCCACGTGACACTTTAATTTGAATAATTTCATTTTTATTTTAAACGCTTTAACAAACATGTTAATTTATTTTTTATTTTTTATTTTTTGTTGGTGATTATTCTACATTATATTACTTGTATGTATTTATATATAAATGTGGATTAAAATATCATGATTCATTTCTAACTAAGATGGTTATACATGTGGTTTTCATTCAATGAGGTTTGGGGTTCAATTCTCTTTGTATGCATTTTTAATTTAGAATATTGAGTGATGATGTGAAGTGATGCTAAAGGTTATTAAATGTTGATGTGACGTGATACATGTGTAAGAAAGATACACATGGCACATATACATAGTTAGAAACGCTTTTTAATATATAGTATAGTATAGATATAGATTCCTATCATTCCCTAGTAACATCAACAAATAACATCCTTTCATCTCCATGAGACAGACCAAGCATTTGAACAAATTCAATAGTGCTTCCAAAACCATAAATAATGGGACAATTATAAAATTAAACTCACATCGCTCTTGCCATTAAGGACTTAATTAGGACCAGCGAAACATATACTAGGCATGAAAATCTTCCATGACAGGAAAATATAAAAAGTTATGGTTGTCACAGAAAAGATATATCGAGAAATTACCAAGAGATTCAACATGCATATGGCTAAACCACTGAACTTTGTTGAGTTCTCTACAATATCCTATAGTGAGTGACTAAAAAAGGAAGTAATGAATAAAATTATATTTCTAGATATGTATACACATCTGATAATCTATACATCCTACAAAATTATCTTTAGCAAAAAGAGTCAATAAATGTTATGGGAGTAATTTCCACGACACAAAATGAAGTCTAAGGGTTGTCTTATTACCAAGACAATCACATGATAGGCGAGTCTTGGTGTTCAAGGTCGAATTAGGTGGAAAAGACCAAAAAGACTAATGTCTATGTCCTAGCAACAACTAACATCAATGACGCATCTGAATGACGCATCTTAGTAATGGACGTTAATACTTGACGCTCGACAACTATAGTGACCTCCGTCGACCTCCAGTGACCTCCGTTGATCTATTGTGACCTCCGTCGACCTCCGACGCAACATCGTCGAACGACGTCAGAAGATGATGCATGACGCTAACGCCCTACATCCAAACAGGATGCGTCTCGTAGTGCGATGCTAGAAAGCTACGGAACAAGTAAAGGTTGTTACTAGTGGTTCCTAAGAAAAAGGAGAGTATTTCTACCGATCTTTAATTAGTCAAGGGGGCTGTAATCATGAATATGATGTAGGTTGAAATACTATAAAATCGGAAAAAAAAGGTCGAAATGTGGGCCGAATTGCTTAATGTATGTATAATGGTGTGACGTGTTAGGAACACTGTCTTAGAAGCAAAATTCGCCCCGACTATGGTGCAATCACGTAGCCCCCCAAGATTTAACACAACGATCTCTCTTAATGTGCACTCAAAAGAGAGATTAGGAACTCATAATTGCTCAGAATTAATTAGAGGAAAACTAATTTTTAGAGGAAGAGGAAGAAGAGAAATTTTTCAGTGTGTCAGAACTGATTGCAAATTCGGTTTTTAAAAGCATTCACAACTCGTAACTGCTGGAGAAAAATCAGGGGGCGGTAAAGATAGAGGGCGGAAATCAGGGGAACGTTTTGAATGAGTAAAACGTATGTTGCGAGCTTTGTAACTGAACGATCTCATAAACCTCGATCGTCAGTTACGCCACGGCCCAAAAAGATAGGCATACCACACCGCGCACGTGCCACGAACTAAACTGAACAAGCTGGATGGCGGCTCGCGCTTGGGGATGCCCCCTTCTACCCCACAACAATAGGGAAAGCACTTCAAACAACTAACCTTAAACCCTCATATAAAAACCAAGTTAAAAGTTTCCTCCTCCACCAATGTGGGACAAAACTCTTTTCTTCCTGATAGGCGGTCGCACACCTAACAAAAATAACCTAACTATTCCTCCTAATTATGTAATAGGGTAAGTCGGGTCGATCCCACAGAGACTAAGGTTCACCTAAATTATCTAGACTCAAGTAATTACCAAGCAAGAATCAAACAATGGTGGAATAAACTAAAAGCTAATGTATAGAAAACTTAGAATAAATCAAACGAATATAATAAATCAATAAACTAAAACATCCAAGATCAAGTATCACCACAATTACGATCGATGCAATTATATATCTACCCCTAACATACAATTCCAATTAACATGGGGAAAAGTAAACCCTAATCAATACCAAGGACCTCTCTCGAGTATCAATGGCTTCCCTAACCTACAATCAAGCCTATTCTCATGGTATCATGCAAATTAGAGACATTAAACACTTTACTTCACTTCCCAATTATCAATTCAACTACTCTCGTGATGAATTTCAAACCCTAAATTAATTTACTCAAATCCGTTAAAACCCAACTCTCGTTGTGATTGAAACTATGGAATAATAACAATACTAATTATCTCTAATCTAGTATTGGTATAATCACAATCAATTTAGCATAACAATTGCAATAGTTATTAGAGAATTTAAAGAATTAAATCATGCATCAATCATAATTGGGCTACCCTAGATCTTGGAATAAAACTACTCACACATAATTAAATCTATATTGACCAAAGCAATTAAAGAAAACATAATAAACAATAATAATAAAACTAAGGTGAAACAATAAAATATACATATTAAAGAATTTAACTCTCAACTAACGAAACTAAAAATAGCTAATAAAACTATAAAAGAACAAAACTAAAACTAAACAAAGCTAACTCTCCAAACTCATAACTCCCTGGCTACGTAACTACCTAATCCTATTTATAAGATAGGAAAAGGAATTTGCTTTCCAGTAAACTTCTAATCCTCTTGAAATTAAAGTTGCATCCAACATCCGCAAATACATGGGCCTTTAACTAATCTAAGCCCAATTAAAATATAACCGACCAAGCACAGCAGCTGCCAAACCAATCGGGTACTGTGCCGTCCGATCAGGCCCGGTCAACTGGGCAACGTGTTGGGCTGCTTTGATCCTTGGATTTGTAACTTGTGCTTTTATATAAATTGGCCCAATTTCCTTCTTTTTCATATCCAAACATTGGATTATTAAAATTAGTCTCCAAACAAATCGAGCCCTTAATCACCGAATCAAATTTTATTAGCTCAATTTTGGGCTTCAAATATACAGTCATAAAACACTCCAATATTTTCGTAGTGGTAAAATAAGCTCGGAAATTGTCATAAATCTGCAAATTCCTACAAAATAATACCAACTCTACCAAAACACTAGAAAACGTATATTAGTAATAAAAATAGCTCCGCAGAGCTCAAATAAGCACAGATATGACCGTGGGACAGGGAATAAAAATATATATAAAATAGACTTATCACTTCCAATATATAAAACAAGTAAAACCAATCTTATCTCACCAATGTGGGACTAGGAGTTTTCCTCCAAAACAAATAACTTGTTTCCTTAGCATTATTACCAACATATGAAACCTTAATCAGTCTACATTTATCAAGGGACCAAGTCTTGAAGTCATCCAACTACTTCCTAAAATCAAGGGATTAACTCTTATCTTCCTCAACCGATTATTTCCACTTAAACCTCTATAAAAGGGGGGCAACGACCAACCATAAAGGTAGATTACACACAGCTTATTTCAAGTATACAACACCCACAAATAATACACTACAAAATACATCATCAGGAGATACATCATGAAGCTCTATTCGACGATCTACACGACGGCATATCTCATCCGATTGTTCTACAAGTCGCAATGATTGACCCAACGTTTATACATCTTTTCAATAACTTTAATGTATACATAATCTCTTGATCTTATGTATTTCTTTATCATCTATGGCCTTAAACGCCCAAATAATCATTGTATTTGTATTAATAATGGCTATAACGCTCGTATCATAGTGAATTAGTGGACAAGTAGCCACCCGCGGTTTTTACCCACCTTCATTGGGGTTTTTCGCGTCACCATATTGTGTATATCTCCTTTTGATTCTATCATTTACATTTCGCAATCTCTTTTAATCTAGTTATTGGCATCCCAACTAAAGGTTATCTTACGATTTTTGACATAAACAATAATCATCCACAGAAGGATACTAATATACAATTGTACAAAATGTGGGGCACGATTATAACAGAATAAAAAATGTATATATACATGCATCCATTGATGTGTTAATTCTTCCAACAAGCTCAAAAGTACTACTCTTTATAGTCTGATTCAACTAAAAACACCCTATACAATTATACAATTCTGTAAAGTTTACATCAGCTATAAACACCCTACACTACCATCCATATCTAAGACCATTACAATGGTTCAATTGTACCTATGTTGCAAATTTCAACTTCTTCCCTACCTTTTACAAATATGAGCTAACTCTTATGAATATTTACTTACAAATATGAGCTACCTTTGTTATACAACTATACCCTCTTAAATATTTATTTACTTAATTGCCCCCATTAATGTTGATTAATTAACACTTTTTATAGGCCCTTTTTAGTTGAAGGGATTTGGATGGAAAAGAAAGAAAGGAAATTGTTTTAATCATGTTCTCATGTTGATTGAATAAATGACATGAAAATCTAAAGGAAAGGAAGGAAAGTGGGAGGAAAGTCTCTTAACAAAATTTTGGCTTTCCTTTCCTCCCAAAATTGGAGGAATTCGATTGGAGAGAGAAAAATAAAAGTAGTACATAAATTTCCTTTCTCTTCCCTTCATTTCCTTTCATTAACCAAATATTGGAAAATAGAATCACCTTCCTTTCCTTTCTTTTCCTTTCTTTTCCCTTCCCATCCTTTCTCTTCTTTTCCTTTACTAATAATCTAATATTGAATCAAACAAAGCCTTAAACTCTTAAGAATAGTGTGCGGACATTTATACTCTTAAAGTGTTTATTTACTTATTACCCCCATTAATGTTGATTAACTCTTTTTTTTAAACTCTTAAGAATAGTGTGTGAACATTTATACCCTTAAAATATTCGTTTGCTGTAAAATTTAATTAACTAACGATTATGATTATATTGTAAAATTGATATTCGATAATTAAAGTAAGGAAATGTAACCTCAAAAGTTGCTTTTATTTAATGGAGGAGAGAAAGCTTAAAAGCTGCTTCAATGGAGAATATGAAAGTACGCTTTAATGGAGGAGTTAAAGGGAAGGGGCAACGACATATGTCGACATAAAAATGCTTCACCGGAAAGTATGCAATACCTCTTTTATGTACGGGTGTTGTTAAACGTTGTTCGCAAATTACTAGGTGATGCTCGCATTTTTTTCGTGAATTTCCTAATTTGCTCCTCGTATATAAATACTCAGAAAACTCACTTCCGAAATTCACAAGTCATTTTACAACCCACTCACTGTCTCTTTAAAATTTTCTCCCTCTAAAAAAAAAAGTCAGAAATTGTAAAAAAAAAAAACAAAGGCAGAAATTTTTTTAAAAAAAATCAGAAATTATTTTTCAAAAAAAACCCCAAACTTTGAAAATCAAACAAAGAACAACGAACACCAATCGAAGGTTGAACCGGGTATGGCGGACCGGCGACGCGTTGGGCTGACTTACGGTGGTCGTGGGGGCGGAGTTAGTGGCGGCGAGTAGGTTGGTTGTTGTTTTATTGTTTCAGATTTTGGAAAAAAAGAAAAACAGTTTCGTAAAACCTAGTCTTCCGCCTGAAATTTCTGGAAGTCTGGGGAAACATCCGGAAATTTCAGGCGGAAGTCTCGGTTTTCTGTTCTTTTTTTTTTGGTCGATTTGTTTTGTTTTTTTTTTGTTTTTCTGTTTTTCGTGATTAGTATTTTTTTTGTATTATTTTGAGTAATATAATTTTATTGTTATTGTTATGTGTGTGTTATTTATGAATTTTGGAATTTTTTTCCGTGTGATTATTGATATGTAATTTTTTTTTGAGTAATATATTTTAATTGTTTTTATTGTTATTCTTATCATGTAATCGTTATGTATTATGGTTTTTATTAATTTCGGAATTTTTTTTCCTTGTGATTATTGATATGTTATTTTTTTACTAATAAATTATATTGTTTGTTGTTGTTATTGTTATGTATTGTTGTTATGTAATTTTTTCGTGATTAAAATTTGATAAAAAATGGATTGAAATTATTGTTGTTGTTGTTATTGATTAGGGGGATTTTCCCTTAATCCACCTCTCGCCATGTGGACCAATCAAGACCTAACAAGTGTCACCCAGTTGGGCTTATCAGGACCTGACACGTGGCGCGGTTCCATTGGTCCACCATGGACCTCCTATGGTATGCCATGTATCCCTCTCAACCTTGCCTAAACAGGTAAGAGATTAGGCCCAATTCCCAAGGAAGCCCAGTCAGTCCTAAGGTTGGCCAAAACCCTAGAACCTGGCACGCTTCCCAAGGCTATAAATACGATCATAAATGCTCATTTATGACAAGAGAGACTGTTCACAAGAAACACTCGGATTTACACAAATCCCAAGACAAGCACACACTACTCGGTACCGCGTGCTAGACCCGTCCTAGCATTCGGCACCCATTTACATTCTGCTTTACAACTCCTTCATCTACTAACTTGATCGTTGGAGGCGGAGCTCCCTACTCCAGGAGTCTCCGTTATCTTTGCAGGTACAGGCGCGTGGTTCCAGCCTCGAAGTTGTAACTCTCCCAAGGGATACAAAAAACCCCGGAACATTTTGGCGCCGTCTGTGGGGAGAGTACCTTTGAGATGGCATCACAATCTGTACCGACTAATGGTGACAGGTGTCCGAAGGACGACTACCAAGAAGACGAGCCTAATGTTGTTTCTGATCAGGACACTGAGCCTGAAGTCGAGACTCGCACGGCTCCAGACGGGTCCTTAAGGGCTCGACGCACTACTCCTCGTGAAAGGCAGGAAAGGCAAGACCAGGCTGGTCCAGGCCAATCAGTTAGGCCATCGACCGACTCTCACCAAGCGGCCGACTGGACAGCTCCTGTCTCGAGAAATGATCTCATGACCATCATGAGAAGTTTCAAGGGTGAGATTAAAGATCTCATCAACAAAAAGACGGTTGTCCCCCAAAAAGGGTAGTCGAGCAAGAAGCCTTCCTATTCAGGAAAAAAGAAGTCATTAAAGGACCGTGAGGCAACCCCCCACCCTCGCCAAGAGGAGAGGCGGGTACCTCTACTCAATTTGTCCAAGCACCGTATCCCAGCCTCATTGGGAAGGAAACCAATCCGCCTGGTCCAACCAGACGGCTCAAAGAAGTCCTACTCAGACGCCCGGCTGCTGATTCAGCAGAAAAGGAGCCAACAACAGTCTGAGTCGGTCTCCACTTCTGATTTTCTTCACAGTGTACAAAACACCTCTATGAATCATTCCAGGTCAAACTATGAGATCCGGACAGGCAGTACACACTCCGGCTCTAGCTTTCACCAACAAGAGTCGGCACCATATGCCACTCAGCCGCCATATGTGCCGCAAACTCACTACTTTCTGCCACCCCCTCCTTTTGGAGGTCAGATGGCTAAGAATGTCCAGCCTTTGGACTGGTAGTTGCGGCTGCTCCAACTGGGAGAACAGCCAACTACCTTCTCAAAGGAAATTTTACAAGCCGCTCAGCCGGCTAAAGTGAAAAATGTGTTAATAGGCGCCTACGATGGCACTGCTAACCCAGAGGATCACCTTATGGCCTTCACCAATCTAATGTACCTTCAAGGATCGGACGATTCCACATGGTGTAGATGCTTTCCTGCCACTCTGAAGGGAGTCGCCCAGCAGTGGTTTGGCAATCTGCCAGCTGGCTGTGTCAACAACTTCAGAACATTGGCTTATTTGTTTGCATCAAACTTTTCCATGAACATACCTGCTAGGAAGACGACTCTTGATCTAGGAGCCGTCCAGCAGGGAGAAAAGGAGGGATTACGCTCCTACATAAAGAGATTCAATCTGATGAGGATACAAATACCCAACTTGCCGGATGAAGTAGCCTATACCGACTTCTTCAAGGGGTTGAAGGACGGGTCGAACTTCAAGTTTGACTTAGTCAGAAAAAGAGTAGCTACTCTTCAAGAGGCAATGATGGAGGCCGAGACCTATATACAGGCAGTCGACCTCTGTCACATGGGAAAGAAAGGGGACCAAAAAAGGTCCGAGAAAAAGGAGAGTCGCTCACAGAAAGCGGCCCCCAAGGAAGATAAGAAGAGAAAAGATGTTTGGATGGCCGACTCCACTGGTCAGACGTCCAGTAAGAAAAGAAAAGCGTTCACTCCATATTCCCCCAAGTATGAGTTTAACAAAGATAATCATGCTATTCTCAAAGAAGTTAAGGGCCGACTCTCACTTGAGAAGCCGGCACCTATGAAGGGTGATCCTAGCAAGCGCAACCAAGGCAAACACTGCCATTTTCATGATGACGTTGGGCATGAGACTAACGAATGCATTAGCCTCAAGCGTCTGCTGGATCAGTTGGCTGAAAAGGGTGATCTAGACTCTTATGTCAAGAAACCTACAGGAAAACAGCCCCCCAAACAAAATCAGACGACCAGGCAAAAAAGACAGAAGCCAGCCGACAACTCTGACACCGATGAAGCCACCATCTATACAATAGCAGGCGGCTATGCAGGGGGAGGCTCGACTGTTCGGGGTAACAAGGATAGCATCAGGCAATTGGATGTCAACTCTGTTAATCGGGGTGAGACCTCTGGTACCTCGTTTCCTGAGGTTATTATTTCTGAGAAATATTCTGGTATGTCTGACGGCCGCATGACGACCGAATTGTCATTGAGTGTAAAGTGGCCAACCAAAGAGTCGGCAGAATACTTATTGATACAGGGAGTTCGTCGGACCTCATCAGCCAAAAGTGCTTGACCAAGCTCAAGTACAGGCCTGAGAGCATACAGCCTGTCTCCCACCCTCTAGTAGGATTTGGGGGGGAGTCGTCCATCCGATTGGTCAGGTTGACTTGCCCGTACGTCTGAGTGAAAGAGGTGAGGGTCGCCACATGGTCATTCGTTTCCTGTTTGTGGAAGAGCTTACTGCCTACAACATGATCCTTGGGCGCCCTACCCTTAATGACTCCAAAGCAGTTATCATTCCATCCCTTATGTTGCTCAAGTTCGAGAAGGACGAAAAAACAGTCGGCTCCATAAGGGGGGACCAGAAAAATGGCCAGAGAATGTTACCTCACTGACATCAAGACAACGGTAACTTCAGACGGCCCAACGGGCAAAGCCATAGAAGACGCGTCTGCCCAAGAAGTAGGCGGCAGGAAGAGAAAAGCCTCCGAGACGGAGGTCCAGGAAAAACATAAGCAATAGCAATCAATGGCTGAGGAGCGGCCAGATGAATTCCGCCCTCAGCCAGCTGGGGAGCATGTTGATGTCGCCCTCGATGACAGTCGGCCAGACCGGACTGTTAAGGTAGGGACAACTGCTCTGACTGAACTTGGCAATGACCTTTGCCAACTGTTGAAAGAATTCCAAGATATTTTTGCATTTGAAGTACATGAGATGCTAGGTATTAGTCCAAACCTGGCGGTACATAAGCTAGCTGTCGACGCAAAAAAGAAACCGGTGTGACAGAAGAAAAGGCATCATGGTGAAGAAAGAAACCAGGCGGCCGCCGCCGAGGTAAAAAAGTTAGTTGATGTGGGATACATTCGGAAGTGTTTCTACCCAGAATGGGTTGCAAATGTTGTTCTAGTCAAGAAGCCGAATGGTTCCTGGCGCATGTGTGTGGACTACACTGATTTAAACAAGGCATGTCCGAAAGACAGCTATCCTTTGCCAAAGATCGACAGCTTAGTTGACTCAACAGCCGGCCATGCCTTGATGAGTTTCATGAACGCCTATTCAGGCTTTCACCAGATCCCTCTATGGAAAAAAGATCAAGAGAAAACTGCCTTTGTCACAGAACAAGGGCTCTATTGTTACACGGTCATGCCGTTTGGTCTGAAGAACGCCCCGGCAACCTTCCAAAGAATGATCAACATTGTGTTCTTTAAACAAATAGGAAGAAATGTTGAGGCGTATATTGATGATATGATTGTAAAGTCAAAACTTCAAACGGACCATTTGGCAGACCTCCGAGAAACATTCGCCACACTCAGGCGGCACCGAGTCATGCTTAATCCAAAAAAGTGTGTCTTTGGAGTCGAGTCTGGGAAGTTTCTCGGATTCCTGATAAATCAAAGGGGAATAGAGGCAAATCTTGATAAGGTGTAGGCGGTCATTGACATACAGTCGCCTCGCACCGTCCGAGAGGTACAAAAGCTAACAGGCTGCCAAGCAGCCCTCGGAAGGTTTCTAAGTCGAGCAGGCGACAAGTGCCTGTACTTTTTCTTGGCAATCAGAAAGAAAGCAAAGTTTGAATGGGGGCCGGATGCTAAGTCGGCCCTCCAAAAGTTGAAAGAACATCTGCATTCCCTGCCGAGACTCGTCAGTCCTTTGCCAAAAGAAGTGCTTTACATGTATCTCGCAGTGTCGGATCATGCTTTAAGTGTCGTCCTCTTAGCTGAAAGAGACGACTGCCAACTCCTAGTCTATTTTGTCAGTCATGTTTTGAAGAATGCAGAGTTGAGGTACCCACTGGTGGAGAAGTTTGGACTCGCCCTGTACGTGGCAGTGAAAAAATTGAAGCCTTATTTCCTGGCACATCCGGTGGTCGTTTACACAAATCAGCCAATCAAGCGGCCCCTGACGACCATGGAGTCGTCAAGGCGGATGATAAAGTGGGAAATTGAGATCCAAAGTCTTGAGGTCACGTTCGAGCCCAGAAAAGTTGTGAAGAGGCAAGCCTTTGCAAACTTTATAGTTGAGATGACCCGGCCACCAGAATGTGAAAAAATTGACCAACTCTGGAAGGTCTATGTTGATGGGAGTTCCACAGCAAATGGTTGTGGGGCAGGTATTGTATGTCAGTCGCCAGAGGGCGATAGGTATGAATATGCTCTTCGTTTCAAGTTTCAGACGTCAAACAATGAAGCTGAGTATGAGGCCCTTTTGGCTGGTATCCGCATGTGCAAAGCAGCCGGGGCAAGAAAAATAGCCGCCTGTTCTGATTCACAACTCATAGTCAGCCAGTTCAATGGGGATTATGAAGGCACTCATCCGGCTATGGTCAAGTACCTAGAGGCCGTGAAACAGGCGGCAAGCTCGCTTGAAGATTTCCAACTAACTCAGGTCCCAAGGTCCGAGAATAACCAGGCGAACGCTTTGTCCAAACTGGCCTCCTCAGCCTCATGCGACACTCCTAGAACTGTATTCTGGGAATTAATGGAAAAGCGGAGTATTGAGGAAAACAACGTTGCAGTCCTTGATAGAAGCTCAACATGGATGAACCCAATCAGGACATACCTGACAGACGGCACCTTACCGAATAATCATCATCAGGCGGCCTTACTAAAGAAGCGAGCGTCCAGTTTTGAAATGGTAAAGGGAAAACTCTACAAGAGAGGGTTCCTTAAACCCTTCTTGAAGTGTGTTACCCCAGAAAAAAGGCGAGAGGTCCTGGACGACCTACACTTTGGATATTGTGCCTCTCACATAGGCGGTAGGTCGCTTGCTCAGAGAGTGAGGCGACAAGGGTACTTCTGGCCGACTTTGGAGGCGGACGCCATGTATCTGGTTAAAAAATGCGACAAGTGCCAGAGGTTCGGAAAATTGATTCATCGTCCAGCTACAGATCTAACGGCTATCCACAGCCCCATACCATTTGCTAAATGGGGCATGGATATTCTGGGACCCTATACGCCTGCATCAGGCGGCAGGAGATACATCTTGGTAGCGGTCGACTACTTCACCAAATGGGTGGAGGCCGAAGCAGTCAGGGGCATCAAGACCAAGGATGTCATCTCCTTCATCTGGAGGAATGTGATCACTCGGTTCGGGGTGCCTATGTCCATGGTTTTTGACAACGGCCCCCAGTTTGAGACGCCTGTTCTTAAAACCTGGTTGAGAGATCAAGGCATTGCTTACTGTTTTGCATCAGTCGGACGACCGCAAGCAAACGGCCAGGTCGAAGCATTTAACAAAATCATCTCAAACGGTATAAAGAAGAAAATTGAAAAAGCAGGCGGCCTATGGGCAGACGAACTACCACATGTTCTCTGGGCCATAAGGACGACTGAAAAAGGAGCGACTGGAGAAACACCTTTCCTCCTAACATATGGGGCGAAAGCCGTCCTACCCATTGAGCACTATGAGCAGACTCTCCGAGTCATGCTGTATGATGAAGATGCAAACTGGGAGGCAATGCGCCTAGCATTGGATTCCCTTCCAGAATGTAGGGGCAATGCTTCCCTACTCCATGAAATATACCGCCTGAGAATGACTCGAATCTACAATAGAAGAGTACACAAGCGCCCACTCAAAGTAGGGGACTTTGTACTAAGGAAGATGGAATCAGTCAGCAGGGCCAACGAGTTGGGAAAACTAACTCCTAACTGGGAAGGACCCTACCGAATCTATGAGGAGGTCAGGGACGGCACCTACCGTCTGGAAACCCCAGAGGGCCGACCCCTACCTAGGACTTGGAATGTAGACAATCTGAAAAAATATTACTTTTGATATAATCAATTAGTTTATTAATGAAAGTTTCAAGTTTATCCTCTTTTTATATGTTTCAAAAAGGAGTACCCTCCGTCTGTCTCAAGACAAGAGGATACTCCCCATCACATGCTTACTAAAGGGCACGCCTGTTTGCCCACCATACGGCTAATCAACCCAGGCACCAAGCCGCTTGATTACGCTTAATTTTTAAATTAATACGACCTGTCCCAATAAATAGCAGGCGTCCGACGACATGCCATTTGGATGAGATTCGTCGCAGAGAGCAGCTCCCATTTGGGTGGAATAATGCTTTATAAACTACTTACACGACCCTTATACGGCTGTCCACAAGGACAACGTATCCGTTTTGAGACAAGGAGAACTCGACACTTTCATGAATGTTAGCAGTTGACATCTGCGTCGGATAGCCGCCTGTATTACTTGGGATAGATACAGGAGGCGCCTACTGAGTTAATAGTCAACCAAAATTGACGAATCAAGGGGATTAGTCGGCCATTAACGACTGATACCTCTACTACTCAGGATTAGGAGAAACCACAATTGGTTGACGCCATAGTTAAACCATAGTTGTTCTCCCATACTTGGTCTGGAATCATAATAAGTTTGAGCAGCCGCCTGGTCTTTGGCAGAAAAGGCACTCAAACAAACATTCCTACTAAGAAATACTAAATGAATCCGAGCAATTTAGAAGGACCTCTCGGTGTCCGACTAGATGCGATAACACCTACTATGTCTCTCGTAACATACTAAGGGACTTATGACAATCGATAAAACAGTGACTAGCCGACTGTTCTCTAAGAACTAGGCGAACCCCTGTGTCTTGAAATGCTCTATAAGTTGGTTAATTCAGTCGGTACCTTACCACTGTGACTAAGTGCATTTCAATCAAGGCTGGTTATGTTTGCTACTAGGATCCGACTGTCTATGGCCGACTAATTACTCTCTTTTCAAGAAGTAACCTAGTCGTCCAGGGGCAAGGGCATTCGACACCAAGGTGAAACATCTTAGCTTAAAAGTTTAACATAGATGCGCCATTCAAGCGGCTATTAAGTTGCGAAGTTTAACATGTTCGGCAAATTCAGCAAAAACGGAAAATCAAAAAACCAAAAAACAGCTTATGTAACAGCAAAAGACGACTCTACAATCGCCAGTTCACATAAAATTAAAGCCAGACAAGCTGGAAAAGTTAAAGTTAAAGCCAGACAAGCTGGCAGATATTCAGAAGCCCGGCCCCCTGGCCGGGTGAAGATACATAAATACACGGCACGCAGGCCGGATCAAGAATGTATATAAAAAGCC